CGAGGAGTCGGCGCGGCACATCGCGCAGCGGGCTGACCACAGTTCGTCCTACACCATGATCGGCGGAGGCTTCGGAAATCGACGTGGACGTTGAGGGCCGCTGCAGTCTCGCCGGGGTGGTCCCCCCTGCCGTGCCGCATTGGTTTATGATCGGTCGGCCCAGCGGCTACGAGCGCATCGCCTTGGAGGAGGCGCGCGCGAAGCTGTGGGGCATGGGGGCTCGCCTGCATCGCCCCGCGGAGCTGGGGCGCCGAGTGCCGCGCGCGGGCGACAACGCGCCGTGCGAGGGCGTCAGCCGCAAGCTGAATCGGCGCTGCCGTCGTGGCGCTGCCATCGAGGTGGCGGGCGGCTTCTCGCATTTCCACTTCTGGATCTCCACGCGCAAGAACCCCGTAGATGAGCCGAGCAGCTGGCACGGCGTGCGGGCGACGGGCGAGCGGCATCAGCTGCCGCAGCCCCTGCCGCGCCAGGAGGCGGTGCCCGTCGTGCCCGCGGGCTGGGGCCGCAGGGAGGTCATCTTCCTGCATCTCTGCTCGGGGCCCAGGCGCGACGGCGACCTCTGCGACGCAGTCGAGCAAGAGGCGCGAGAGGCGGGCCTCGTGGTGGCGGCGGTGGCCAACGACCCCGTCGTCGATGCCAGTCGCGACCTCGCGCGCGCCAGCCCGGTGCAGGAGCTGAGGGGGGGGGGGCCCTGCAGCAGTGGCGACCTGATGGGCTTTTTCGCGGGGCCGCCCTGCTCGACGTTGAGCCGCGCCAGGCACCGCCCGCTCGCTGGACGCCAGGGGCCGAGGCCTTTGCGCGCGAGAAGGGAGCCGTTCTTGCTTTTGCCATGACTGGCGGTCACCGAGCGCCGAGCTTGCGCACTGGGAACGCACCTCTTCCTCCTCTGCTGTGAGCTCCTCACCCGAGTCACCCCTTTCGGGGGTTGGGCTGGCCACGAGCACCCTCAGGATCCAGGGCGTGAACCGTTCCCCTCGTTCTGGTGCTCTCGAGAGGTCGCAGAGTGGGTCGCAGAGTTCGGGCTGCACATCGTTTCGTTCGATCAATGTCCACGCGGGGCCTCATCGCAGAAGCCGGCGTCCATAGTCACGAATGACGCGGAGGCTGGGGGAGTTCTTGGGCATCGCTGCAATCGTCGACATAGGCGCGAAGGAGTTTATGGGCCAGCGCGCGGCGGGGGCTTCGTCACAGTCCAGCTCGCTCGATATCCTCCGCAGCTGTGCCAGGCTCTGGCTCGGTTGGCGGTCGGCCCCCCTGCGAAGACCCAGGATCGGGCGCGCCATGGGCGACTATCCTGGCAGGGGCCGCGGGCGCATCACTACCTTCTTGATGAGTGCGCTCAAGCCAGTGACCATCCAGTGGTACGCCGCGGCCCTCATCGATTTCAGCTCTGACCTCAAGGCGCTTGGCCTCGGCGTTGAGCAGCTCGCCGAGGAGGAGCTCGACTGGTTCCTGGCCGAGCGCGTGGTGGGTCTGTGTGAGGAGTCCGGCGGCGTCGAGGGCTTGGGGGCTGCTTCTACGCTGCTGGCCTCGCTCGCGAGGGCGAATCCTCGGCGCCGCTACCGCGCTGCCTGGAAGGCGCTGGACGCGCGGCGCACTCGGCGGCCGCCCCTGCAGGCGCCCGCCCTCCCAGCGGCGCTGGCCCTCGGGATCGTGAACTGGCTCGTGCTCGCGGGGGAGTTCGGCTGCGCCGCTGCCGTGCTGCTCTGTTTCGCAGGCCTGTTGCGAGCCTCAGAGGCGCTGGCGCTGGACGGCAGCGCCTGGGTCAGGACCGCCACGGGCTTCGCGGCCTTGCCCGGCCGCGCCGAGCGCGGAGCTGAGCAGAAGGTCCTCTTTGAGGAGCCGTCCGGCGCAGCCTGGCTTGATCACTGCTGCTTGCGTGTTCCCCCGAAGGCAGGCGACGTAGCCTGTGCTGCGTCGTATCCTCGGCTGCAGCGCTGGCTCCAGACAAGGCGCGGGCGCGCTGGGGTTCGGGGCCGCGCGCTGGACAACGCGCGGGCTGCGCCGGGGGGGGCCGCCGAGCTGTTGAGCCGTGGCGCTCCCTCGGCAGACATCATGTTGTTTGGCAGATGGCTCTCTGAGAGGTCGACTCGAGAGTACCTGCGTCGAGGAGAGGTAAGCCTCGCCATATTGCGTGTAGATATTTATGCGAACTCCCGGTCTCTGGCCTACCGTCACTGCGCAGTCGGATCCCAAGTGCGGGGTGTGGTCTGACTGCAGAGTGTGTCTTTTTTTCTGATCTAATTAAGAGATTTCGCTGGATTGGGAGCGTGGCGAGGCATTGGCCCACGCAGACATGCGACCGAGTTGCCATGGCGTCTCGGTTCCCTTTGAATGAGGCTTGCCATCTCTTATTGTACGCTTCGCGTGCTGCCTCCCCTGATCAGGGTCGGAGAGTAGGATGTAGGTAGTCAGAGCTTGCTAGATGGTTTTGTGACTGCCAGTTGTCTCATCTAGCCTCGTCTCGACATCAGGACAGCGTCTGTATATGCTGTTATATGCTGGCCCCGCTGCGCTCCCACCCACCCGTGGTGGTCCTATACTCATCAGTGGAGTGCGCAGGGTCCATGTACTGCTCTGAACGACGAGGCATTGGCCAACGCAGCCATACGGCCGAGTTGCCGAGGCGTCTCGATTCCCTTTGACTGAAGCTTGTCTTTTATTATTGTACGCTTCGCGTGCTGCCTCCCCTGATAAGGGTCGGAGAGTAGGATGTAGGTGGCTTGGCTAAGTAGTCAGAGCTTGCTATATGGTTTTCGGACTGCCCGTTGTCTCATCTAGCCTCGTCTCGACATCTGGACAGCGTCTGTATATGCTGATATATTTTGGCCCCGCTGCGCCCCCACCCACCCGTGGTGGTCCAATACTCATCAGTGGAGTGCGCAGGATCAATGCACTGCTCTGAACGACGAGGCATTGGCCTACGCAGGCATACGACCGAGTTGCCATGGCGTCTCGATTCCCTTTTGACTAAAGCTTGTCATTTATTATTGTACGCTTCGCGTGATGCCTCCCCTGATAAGGGTCGCGACGAGGCCGGCGGTGCGCAGCCGGCGCTTGCGGAGCAGCGGGAGGAACCCCTCCCGGCCGACGGCTTGGTGCAGCACTCGGTCCGCATGACCATCCACCGGAGGTGCGCTGCTGGCGAGGACAGGCCGGCGTGCCCGAGAGCCAGGGCTCCTCCGGGCACATACCTTCGCCTGGACAGGTGGCCAGTGACAGCGTGGCCGCGCTGCCGGGCGTGCTTCCCGCAGTTATAAATGAGCAGCCCGGTAGTTTTTGATCGGGCGTGCCGCGTCGACCCCGAGAAAACAGGCGAATGCAGCCGTAGGCGGCTGCATGCACGATGGCGGCCGGCACTGAAGCGACGGTGCGAATCCGCGCTGTTGCGTCGGTGGCTGCCATGCCACGCGCTGCCAGCAGCCTTCCGAAACATCAGTGCGAATGCGCAGTGTTATGAAGGCGGCTGCGAGGCAGTTGGTTCCGCGAGTGGCGCGGCACCAGGATAGCATCTCGCGGGGCGGTGGTGCGAATGGCGCGGTACTGCGCCGCGTTACATGGTACCAGCGGCCGCCGGAGCGACGGTGCGAATGCGCGCCGTTTTGAAGGTGGCTGCTGGGCCGGTGGTGCCGCGAATGGCGCGTCACCAGGATATAGCTCGCGGTGCGGCAGTGCGAAGGGCGCGCTGCTGTGATGCGCTGCTTGGCGGCAGCGGCCACCGGAACGACGGTGCGAATGCGCGTCGTTGCGAGGGTGGCTGCTGGGCCGTTGGCGCCGCGAATGGCGCGGCACCATGGGGCGCAAGCTCGCGGAGCGGCGGTGCGAATGGCGCGCTGCTGCGATGCGTAGCTTGGCGGCAGCGGCCACCGGAACGACGGTGCGAATGCGCGCCGTTGTGAAGGGGGCTGCGGGGCCGTTAGTGCCGCGAATGGCGCGGCGCCAGTATTGTACCTCGCGGAGCGGCGGCGCGAATGACGCGCTGCTGCGAGGCGGCGCAACATGAAGTGTGGCAGGGAGCTGCGCAACGGCCGAAAAGGAGGTCGGCATGGAAGGAAAAGAAAGATTGTCATGTAATGTTACATTCGCTCCCTCGCTCCCTCCCCCCCTCCCTCTTCCCCATCCTCTCCCTTCCACCATGTCTCTCCCTCCTCCCTCTCCCCGTGTATCGTTCCTTGCCCCTCCCTAGCTCCTCCCTCCCGTCCTTGTGGCCCTGTGGTCGCACTCCTCCCTGAAGGGGTCAAAACTCCCACAGGCGAGTTGCTTTTGTGCGGCTGGGCGGCCTCCGGGGGCCCCCGGCGCGCACGCGTGTGGTACGGAGGGCAATTGGCACACGGTGCGAGGATTGCCAGGAAATCTGACCCTTCAGGCTCGCGACAGCGAAAATAATAACTGGGGGCAGAAGCTGCATCGGCCACGAAGCCGGGACAGATGTCAACAAATCGCGCCCCCCCCGATCCTGGGACATCAGGGCTGTTGTTAACATTTCGTGCCCCTCTTCTAGGGTGCCGGCGGAGCTTGTGCGGAAGAAGGTGGAAGTAATGGCGGCCGCCTTCAGTGGGTGACGACGGCTGTTCTGTCCAGGTAGGCTCTGGGGCAACCTAAACGGTCGCCTCCTCTTGTCCTGGGTTCCTGGATGGTGGCGGCGACGGGCGGCCTTCACCGAGAGGTCCCGTGGCAATCTAAACGGTCGCAACTCTCTTGTCCTGGATCCCTCAATGGAGAGCTATGTTAAGCAGAGCCGATTCGCAATTGGACACATTATTTCGTGCGCAGTGGCGGCCACGGGCGCTGCGAATGGCGCGGCGCCCATGGCGTCATGTCGCAGCGCGGCGGTGCGAATGGCGCGCCGCCGCACCGCGTCGTCCGAGCTCTTGGCATTGCGAATGGCGCGTGCCAGGAGGTGTATATTGTCAGCGTCCGTAGTTTTGGGCTCAGACGTCTGTAGCTTTGGCTTACTCTGCAGCCTCGCAACCTAGTTCAACCTGCTTCTGCTCAGCCGGATGGCGCTCGACAGCGAGGCCGTCTTCCGGGGGCGCGTCGACAAGTTCGGCCTCGTAGACCTCTGGCCGAAGTTTGAAGAACATGGCTGGACTACAATGGGCTCGTTCGCTTTCGCCTGCCCGGTCCAGGCTGGTGGCAACCCAGACCCGGAGGCTTTCCAACGAGAGGTTCTGACTCCGTTGGGCGCCGCCGGAGCCCGCAGCACCACCGCAATCCGACGCTTGTTCTGGGATTCATGGACCCATTCTTGCGCCAGCATGCGCCGCGAGATCGACCGTCGCGAGGACGACCCACTGATGTCTCTCCCAGCCAAAGAGATCGCGGTGCGCGTCGAGGCTGTGCGGAAGAAGGCTCTCCCTGGTCTCAACATCCGGGATCAGTTCGAGCCGGCTCGTGCAACGGTCACTACGTTCGCCCAGATGTACGAAGACAACCAGGTCAAGTACGTCCCTTGGGCCGACATCCCGTCGCGCGCAGACGAGGACGCCAAGCCCGCGGGCAAGAAACCCACGGAGTGGCAGGAAGACGCGCAAGGGTATGTCAGACACGCCCCATCACGGTCGGCAGCTTCGGCCGATTATGGGACCGAGTTCCGCCTGTACCAGGTCCTGGTTCGGCGCGGCGTGGCGGCCGAGGCCGGGATGGTGATGCACTTGGAGGTGATCCAGCGCCGGGTCACGGGCAGCAGCCCTGACCCGGCTTTCAATCCGCCCACTTTGGACCAGGTCAAGCGGGCGGATGTCGAGTTGCGGCGCTTGCTGGCGGAACGCGCCGAGCTCACAGGGATCCGCCCCGGCATTGATGGCAAGTGGCCGCTAGATGAGCTCGTCCCTATTCTCCTGGATCACCCGCGCGTCGCGATGATCCTGACGCCTCTGCCGAAGACCGCAGCGCCGCGTGGCGGCGCCGCCGCGAGCGCTCCCGGCGGAGACCGGCAGGGCGACCAGGGCTCGGCAAGGACCAGGGCAGAGAAGCGCAAGGAGTCCAGGCAGAGGCAGGCGGAGAACAAGCGGCAGAAGCCAGCAGAGGTCGCACCCGCCGCAGCGGCGCCGAAGGGGGCCGGCAAGGGCACGCGCACCCCCATGCCCAGGGGCCTGATCGGCAAGAACCGGCAGACGCCGGATGGGCAGCCGTATTGCTTCGACGCCAACCTCCCGCACGGGTGCCCTCACGCGCAGGTGGGCCAGCGGTGCTCGAAGGGGTGGCACTTGTGCTGCGAGCCAGGTTGCCCCAAGGGCGCAGTGGGTTGTTCCGACCCCCACTGTTTGCCCCGCCACCAGTGAAGGGGTCCGGCCGAGGCCGCGCCGCTGCTGGCCTCGGCTGTGCACGAGGCGGACCCTGAGCAGCGGAATAGGCATCCAGAAGGGCGGGCCCCTGGGGCAACGGCGCGTTGCCCCCAGTCGCCCGCGGCCGCCCTTGGCGGCCACCATCCGGCGTCAGCGATTCGCGCCTGCCAGCCTGTCGCGCCCGTCCCTGGGGCGCCAGAACCCGACGAGGCAGCGGGCGGGCACGCCGAAGCGGCCCGCGATCGCCTGGCTGCCGCGACGGGCACGCAGCCGCGCAGGCAAAGGCGATCCCCGCTGGTTCCGGAATTCTCCGGGTTCGCAGACGTTCGGCTTCCGCCAGAGGCGGCCTTCGCCTTACAGGTGGGCGACGTGCTGCGCGAGCCTGTGCGGCACTGCGACGGCGAAGCGCCCGCAGGGGCCAAGGTCCTCCTCCTCGGCCAGGAGACTGGGGGTGGCCACGGGGCCGAGGCAAGATGGGTTCCTGCGAAGTTCGGGCTGCCCTGGCACCCCGACGAGTTTGCCCGCGTGGCAGCCGGGGCAGTTGCGCCCTTCGACCAGCTGCCAGATCTGCGCTCGCACGTTCTCGAGACAGTGTTCTTCGTCCTTACCCGCGGCCCGTCTGAGGTTGTGAGCTTCCGCCGGCTGGCGTTCAAACACTGGGCCCGCCGGGCGCGAGCCTTGGAACAGGACGAGGCGAGGCTGCACGAGTCCATGGAGCCCGGCGTGCGGCACGTGCTGCGCGGCAAGCGGCTCCTCCTGCTCGATAAGATGGCGCAGGCTGCGGGTTACCCAGATTGCGGGTTGGCAGCCGAGGCGGCCGCGGGCCTGGCGGTCATCGGAGTGCTCCCGAGGACCGGAGCGTTCCCTCCGCTTCCGGCCCCGGCGAAGGAGTCCGTCGCCGCCGTCCTGGCGCGCGCCGCGGAGGCGCAGCGCGCGGCCGTTGAGTCTGCAGGGCCATCGTCCGACCCGGCCCTGGACGCGGAGGTCGAGCGAGTGACGCTGGAACAGGAGGCTGCTGGCCTCTTGTCTGCGCCGTTCCTGTCGGTGGCGGAGGTTTCCGCCGCGCTCGGCCCGGACTGGCTCCCCGCCCGAAGGTTCGGCCTCTGGCAGGGAGGGAAGGCGCGGGAGATCGACGACGCCACAGAGTTCGGTGAGAACTTGATGGTGGAGCGGACCGAAAAGCTCGATGTTCTCGGCCTCGACGGTCGCCGGCTTGGCCCGATGCTGGGCGGGAGCTGTGGACTGGGACCGGCGGCGCGTCAGTGTGCGCCTGCCTGGCGGCGCTGCTCTTGAAGGCAGGCTGTCTGACGAATGGAGTCGCGCGGAGGCGGCGCGCCTCGCAGGCCGGACACTGGATCTCAGCAAAGCCTACAAGCAGTTGGCCAAGCGGCCAGAACACCGCAGGTACTCAGTCGTCACGTCCTGGTCTACGTCCAGGCGCCGCGTGGAGTTCCGCCTGGCTTATTCCCTCCTGTTCGGGGAGACCGGCGCCGTGTTTCAGGCCAACCGCTTCTTCCGGCTTCTGGAGTGGATATTATGTAATGCTCTTCCGGGTCGCTGTCACGAATTACTTCGATGATTATCCGCACCTCGAGCCCGAGGTTCTGGCTGCTGGGGGCCATGCCACGGCCTTGGAGGTCCTGAGGCTCCTCGGGTAGCCCCCGAAGGAGGAGCGACCGGAAGACAGGGTGCCGAGGCCAGTGTTCTCCGCTCTCGGGGCGCACTTCGACATGAGCCCCCTTGTCGAACACGGCTGCTTCAGGGTTGGCAACAAGCCGGGCCGGATAGAGTCCATCAGCAAGGACCTGGCGATGATCGAGGCCAGGGGCCGTGTCCGCCGCGGCGAGCTGGATTCCCTCATCGGCAAGTGCCGGTATGCCAGGTCAAACACATTCGGCCGGTGCGGCGCTGCGGCATTGCAGGCCCTCGGCGAGTTCAGGCAGACGTGCGCAGCGGGCGGCCGAATCGCCCCAAGGGTGAAATGGGCGCTGTGGTGGTGGCGCCGGTTCTTGAGCTACACCCGGCCAAGGGAGGTGCGCTGCCACCGACGCCTCCCGACGCTGCGTCTGTTCACGGATGGGGCCTGCACCCCTCGCCCTGGCCGCCTGCCACTGGTGTCGATCGGCGCCGTACTGTATCGCACGGGCGCCGCCCCTGTCGTGTGGGGAGCGGAAGTCCCAGGTGAGGTCGTGGCCAGGTGGCAGGACCGCGGGGTGCGCACTGTGGAGCAGGTGATCGGCCAGGCGGAGCTTGCCCCCGCGGTCGTGGCCCGCCTCCTGTGGCCGGACGTGCTCCGACAGGCAGTGCTGCTCCATTGGGTTGACAACGAGGCGGCGCGCTTCGGCCTCATCCGGGGCTATTCGCCGGTGGAGGCGAGTGCAGAGCTCATCTCGTGGTCGCAGGAGTTGGACATGGCGCGCGGCACGGCGTCGTGGGTTGAGAGGGCCCCTTCCCTCGGCAACCCCGCCGACAAGGCGTCTCGCCTGGTGTTCGATGGATGCCAGGGCGCGGTTGTGCTGGAGGCCGTGCCGTGCTTAGCTTTGTTCTGGCAGGGCTTGCTCGACCCAGAACGAAGGCCGTCAGCGTTCGACAGTCATGCAATGCGACTCGACGCTGGCATTTCCAAATGATGAGAGGCGGCCCGAGGAGATGGGGGTAGACGGAGGCCCGCCTCCCTTGCGTCGCTGAATGCACCATGGATGCAATGCGCAATGTGTTCCCCACTGTGAAAAAAACGACTCTCCTTGACGCTTCGCGTGTCTCCGCCCGCGTCAGGGGAGGGTGGAGGTAGATGTGGTTCAGGAAGCAGGAATATGTCCTGTATGTGATGGCATGTGGACGTCTGCTGGCGAGGGCCCGGGCGGCTGGCGGAAGGCGGCCCCACTCCCAGTAGCCCCTCTTCCGCCGAGCCTCCCGGCCCCGAGAGGCCGCCCAGAGGCGGGGGGCCGGCCGGCACGACAGGTCGAGTAAATCTGATGTGAGTGATATGCCGGCCAGGTCAGTATACATGGGCCGTGCGGCACGACAATGTTACGCCAGATAGTTCAGGGGAGGTTTCGTGACAATTTCGTGCCGGGGCTGGGGCCCATGGATGGCCCCCAAATGCGTTTAACAGTTTTAACGCCGAAGCCTCTCGGGCAATTGTTGGGGTCAAACTGCGCGCGGCGGTTTGCCGGCGGATGCTCGGCGGAAGTCGGCAGAGGCACGTGCAAATGTCACGGAGACGGCGCCGTGGACAGCCGGCGGAAGTTTTGCGGGGGTTGCGGAAGTATTTCCTGGACGCGCAGATTGTTGCGGACTCGGTTTGTCCACGCGAGCGCGCGCGTTCCGCAGCCGTGCAAATTCAAGGTATGATGAGGCACGGTGTAAACACTTTTTAACCCCACCCACCCGCCCTCATACATTGAGGAGCGGACGGGGTAGACGGAGGCCCGCCTCCCTTGCGTCGCTGAATGCACCATGGATGCAATGCGCAATGTGTTCCCCGCTGTGAAAAAACGACTCTCCTTGACGCTTCGCGTGTCTCCGCCCGCGTCAGGGGAGGGTGGAGGTAGATGTGGTTCAGGAAGGAGGAATATGTCCTGTATGTGATGGCATGTGGACGTCTGGCGAGGGCCCGGGCGGCTGGCGGAAATATATATACATATATAGATTGTCGCCGATCTGGCTTAAGCACTCCCAGGCGACCGAAGACACGGACGCTCGAGCTTGTCCCATACCTATGTCAAACAAATGTGTACTTGATGAGCAGAAGCAGCGGCGGCTGGCGCCTGCTGCGTTTTGTTTCTGTCAATCCCCTGACACTGGCAGCTCTAGCCAAGTTGCAGGACATCGCGTGCGAGTTCGCGAAGCATGGCGGCATTTCAGTTCAAGGTGGCACGCAGCAGAGAGGTGGAGCACTTGTATACGAGCAGCCACTTGAATTGGCACAGTGACCACAGTTTTGACAGCAACAAGTCATGTGGCGTTGCCGTTGGCCCCGACAAGCGCAAGTGCCCGAGCGAGTTCGTCACCAGAGTCGAACGCGGAACAGGTGAGCTTCAAGGGCGCGCTATCCTTCCCAGGTACCGACGTGGGCGGCACGATCTAGCGTTTCTGCCGTGTTATTTTCCAGCGAGAGGCACTGGACGAGGCGCTGTTGCCAGACAAAAGCGAATATGCGAGCTCTTAGCGTGGTTCATGCAACGCCGACTAGATGAGTTACCTACTCGATGCGTACCTCCCATTGGAATGTACCTAAACAGCGCACGCGGGGAACACATATCAGCGCGCCCAGTCGCAGGAGGTGAAGAGCCAGAGAGAGATGGCCCCAACTACCTTCAACTACGACCGACGCTACAGGCGCACCAACTGGCGCTGGTGAACACCTTCCATGCGGCTGGGCCCACGTACTATGGAGTGCAGGGCAGCGCTCAGAAGAGGATTGCCTTCGTCGCAATGCCGCCCAGCATGCTCTTTAATGTGGACAAGTGTCATGTGGCACGAGTCAAGGGGCGGAAACTCCAACATATCCGTTGTGCTCGGCCTAAAGATGATCTACCAACATGTGTATCAGTATGGCACCCCTTTGAATGGAATCGGCCCTTCCAGTTGAAGAAAGCCAATCTGGAGGCCTTCAACGCGTCGCTCTTGCATGGGCATCGTCGCACTGATGCGGTAGAACATAACTTACAGGGGCATGTACCACGGTTTAGACAGCGAGGATATGAAGGCGATGTTGACTTACCCAATGCGGAATTGTGTCAAGCCATCGGGGATGCAGCGGCGGAAGTACTACGATATCCACCCGGCTATCAGGAGACCAAAGAGGATCGCATCACCACGAACACGCGCATCTCTCAACTCCATCAACAGTGACGCAAGGCAAAACTACGTGAGGCACAATTTCCGGAGGAGCTATCTCTTGAAGTGGTCCGACTTCGCCGAGCATTCAAACGACAAAAGAATGAGCTTGTGCAACATTGGAATCTGCAGCGCATCGAAGCACTGGCAGAAGTCTGGCGAAAACGACGCTTTCACGAGGCATGCAAGCTGACCGGGTTGATTGCGGGCACGCGTCGAGGGCCACGTGTTCGGGCGTATCATCAGGTCGCCGCAGCTCGCGCGACTTCGTTGGGGCGGACAGAGAAGCTGCATCAAAGAGGCATCGATGGAGGAGCAAAGGCGAGCATCGAGACACTTCCCAAACGACCAAACGACCCTTTCAAGCAGTGGGCTTCTGGGGGAGACCATTCGAGAGTGCACAGGATCATATCGTGGACGCGCATCAGCTTACCGAAGTAGAGTACCCTGAGATGGACCCGGAGAGCTGGTCAGATCTCGTTCAACTCAGAAAGTACACGTATCACGACACCAACGATCTGAGAAAAGCGCAAAGACACTTCCTTCGTGGCGAGCCTGGCTTGACTGGAGCGCACCTGGAGATTATATATATTTATATATGTCTTGACCCCGAATGGTTGTATCGACCTGAACAACGTGCTGGCATTGGTGCAGGAGATCGGCCCGAGTGGAAGGCACCATTGTTCGAAGAGGCACTTCAGCTACTTATGAGTACCACCAGAAGAGAAGAGCGACCTCCAATTGTTTGGCATCAAGCAAGTATGTTCAGACTCCCAACAAATAGCGGCAAAGCGAGGAACATGAGGAGAAAGACCGATCATGTTGCCTCTGTGGACTTGGCCGTTTATATTACAAGAGTATTCTGATTCGCAAACCGACGTTTCCAAATTGGATGCACGGAGGCATTTCTCACAGGAGACGTGAGTACGCCAGGCTTGTACACTTTTGTGGCTCATTCAGATTACGACGAGCTGGCATTCCTCATGTTACCAGGTATCATGACGCGACGAACGCGTATCTTGTAGCAGTTGGCAACGAGATAACAGAGCAGGGCATGGAACATTTTGTCGGGTAGATTACCATGGACAGCACATTCATCGTCAAGGATGGACTATACAGCGCGCGCGTGCACAATGAAGAAGGAGCTTTGCCAGGCGACCATGCGTCAACAAAAGTGTTTGCGAATGCGTCTGGACATGGACTGCAGTTGGCTTCGGCAAGTTTAGCACTAGACGAGCGGCCGAGACTGTTTGCAAATCACCTCGATGCCACTTGGGCTTGAGGACGAGCGCATCGACTTAGCCACCAGTGGATTCGTCGACGGCATCGGCAGAAAAGCTATCGGAGCCAATTCTCATCATCTTCGCAAGCTAAGCAAATGGGAGAACCTCATCGTTGATGCGGGACTCTCGGAGATCGGGGGGGCACAGAACAGGGACAAACAATGCAACCTCGTCCAGGGTGCCAAGCGCGATGCTCAGAAGCTCAGCAGAGTTTTGCATGAACATCCAGAGCTGCTAGAAGGCAGAACTAAAGCTTGTGCGAAATATCCCGGAGGCCTACATCGCGATAGCAATGGTTTCACGGGAGTGAAACGGGCAAGGTTAACAGCTATTGACAAGGCATGGAAAAACATGTGGCACTTCTGGGCCTCGTCTCCTCCTCAGGTTTCGGGCCATCGTCTTCGTCGGTCAGGTCGTCAACGCGGCCCTCGGCGGGCGGGGGGCTTATGTGATGAACATGATGCCTGGAACCTCTACAATCTAAAGTAATCAAAGACGCCAGAGTACTTCTGAAGGGTAGGTTCACTGAGCGCACGCACGGTAGAGTAGTTAAACCAATTCCTAATGCTGAGGTTCTCAGAACGCTGACAGTAGGTAGTCTGTTTTGTGAACTCCGAACTCGCAGAATTAAGTGGCTCCAATCCATGATCAGACACCCCAGAGAGCACGCTCAGGCCCTCGGAGCCCTCCTTGGCCAAGTCAGATGCGAGTGCGAGCAAAAGGACTGCGTTTGGAGGCGTTGTCCAGGCTGGCGCCAGTCCGTGGCTTAGGCAATTTGGGGAGGACGTCCAGGCGCTGGGGAGCACTGATGAAGGAACCGCCCTCCTCGCGGGCCTCGATGGGGTCTTTCTTCGAACTTTTTGAGGGGGCCCACCGAGGGGAGTTTTTGAACCTCGATCCGTCTGTGCTCAGAGCTCAGGAGCTCGCCGTTGAGGTGCCTCCCTCTCCTGGGCTTGGCGGGTCGGGCGTCGCCGGTGGGGGTGGGGCTTCGGGGGCCTGTGGGAATCCAGAAGGGGGGGCACCTTTTCCTGTCCTGCGTGTGAGCAGGTCTTTTCCTCACACCAAGCCATGGTCATGCATTATGTAAGGTCTCAGGCGGAGGGTCATGGAGCTAGGAGTACATTCGCGAGCAGGTAAGCTGCTCAACATCGTGTTCTCTGGCAGCGCTCGATGTTCTACGCAGGTTCAACACAGCATTCGACAATGTACCATGTGTAGCCATCCTGCTGAGAGTGCTGAGGCTTCGGGCGCACATCTGAGATCGAACCATCTTCAGCAGATCATTCACGTCGACCACTACCTCGCGCTCATTGTCGGCGTGGCTTCCAGAAGGGCAGGTTTCTGCGGCGTTGGCGGCGGCGACAGGGGGGCCGGCGGGCGCGGGATCAGGACAGGCG